GGAGAGAGGAGGGAGGGGCTGTTCCTGCTCCCTCATAACAGCTGAAATAAGCAAAGCTTATCTGAAGTCATTGGAGTGAGTGCTTTTACTTTACTGAAATGTTACAAGGATTTTGGAATGTGGTAGGTAGAAATCAGCATTATTAGTATATTTGTTGTGGTTCAAGGTAAAGACTCACTGAGGCACTGTTTCTATGTTTTACTAGGTCCTTTCAATGATCCTTGACATTGCATTTGGGAATGTGTTTGATCACCAAATTATCACAGCCAAGAGAGGGATGGGCATGGTGGGTGGCTCAGCGAGGATGTAGTGCATGCTGGGAGCCTCGTGTCGCCTACCAACTAGGAGAGGCTTAGCTAAAAGGAACAGACATGGAGACACTCAGAAAATGGATGCAGAGCATTTGGTGATCATGGGATAAGCCTTGTTTTGAGGAAGAAGAAAGACATAATTAATGGTCATTTGGCATTTATAAAACTGTTCTAAAAGCTGAAACTATCATTATAGAAACAGGGCATTGCATCGTAACGAGTGTTACTAAGTCAGGTTGTGAACCGAAATGAGTTCAGCTCTCTCCATAGTGTCAGTGCTCAGGTGCCTTCTCAGATACTACTCATCCCGAACATTCTGGAAGAACAAACCAGGAGAATCCAGAGCTTCCCTAGATCTTGTTACTCAAAGCATCCTAAACTGTCTAGCAACACTGGCATCATCTGGGAGCTTCTTAGAAATTCAGGATTTTAGGTCCATTCAGATCTACTGAATCAGAATCTAGATTTAAACGAAATTCCCAAGTGATTTATATGCACATTGAAGTTTGAGAAATATTGTCCTAAAGCAGAGGTGAGTAAACTTCTTCTGCCAAGCATCAGGTAGTAAATATTTCAGGCTTTTCATACCCAAAAGTCTCTGCCATGGTTCTGCATGGACAATCTATAAACACACAGGCGTGGCTCAGTGCCAATAAACATCATTTACAACACCCAGTGGAGTTGGATTTGGCCCTTGGGTGAAGAACAAGAATGATGAATGATGTCAGGGGCATAGTGCTGATGGGGGGGCAAGAAGTTGAATTACAAATATCACAGTATTGAAATAAACCAGGCTCACAATTCATCAACATGTAATTGGAGATTCTCTTTCTTAGGGGCTAAAATACTTGCATCCTGTATCCCCCTACTTTCTTCCTTTTATCAGGCTACCGGGAGTTATTAAAGAGGTTGCTCTACGTATGTGAAGTCAGAGAGCAGAGAAATGAAAAGGTAGGGGTGTGTGTCTGTGGGTGTGCTATTAGTCTTGCCTCAAGCTTTCATTATGGAGACCTTCAAGCATCCAGTAAAAGTGGAGCTAATAGTATAAGAAACTGTCCTATGTCCTTCACAACCCCTTGTAACAACATTTTCAAGTTCCTTTTTTCATCCCTCTACTTAAAAAAATTCAGGACATTTTAAAATAAATTTAACCATCATGTCACATGTCACTAATAAATATTGCAGTGTGTACCTTGAACAGATAAAAAGTTTTCTTTTACTGTAGCCACAAAACCCTTTTAAATTTCCTAGCTTTTTCTAATGATACGCTTGGAAACAATGAAGATACTATAGAGATGAGTACCTGTAGCATCTAGATTGTGGTTTTTAAATATCACGTCCCACAGAAAGGGAATGAGGGTCCCCCTTGGAAAGATGGGTGATTCCAGGTCTAGGATGGGAAGTGTACAAAACGAACCAGGTACTTATTAATTATTGCTGCAGAAAACAAAGATGCTATCAGAAATTACTGGAGCCATTTCAGAAGGTGTAGAAACTAACTTGAAGGGACTCTTCTTTGCCAAAGACAGAGTAATTTGAGAATCAAAGGGAATGATGACCACAGTGATTAAAACACATTCAGTCTTTCAAAACCCATGTGTCCTTAATGGTACAAAAACTCACTGGTCACCATCTCACTATCCTGAAAATCTAAAAGTAAACAGAAGTCATATTTCGTGCCTATCACATACTAATTGTATTTCAGGGTATCTAAATGTTTGATGAGGAATCATTTTTCTTTAGAGAAAAATTCCAACTAACAAAGGTAGAAGAAATGAGAGAATTATAAGAGAACAATTTCAACCTCTTATAAAGTAGTGAATCTAGGCAACAATCATCAAATATTTAGACATAACATTGATGAAAACTTCAGAAAGGATAGATCAGGTGGACAATATCTAAGCCCATTAATTAATCTTAACATCAATAAAAGTAGGACAACCAGACATTTCATGACTTCCCACAAATAATTTCTGGCAAAGAATAGAACCTGAATTTAATCTGGCCACTTTACAGGAACTATGAGGAAGACAGCCACATCTTAAATGACACCATTGGGGATGAAATGAGCTAAATCTAGAATGTGGGGAATTCTACAGATTAAATCACTTGACTACTTCCACTATAAATGGTATGATAAAAGAGGGAGCAGTTACGAATTAAAGGAGACTTAAAAAGGCTTATAAACCAAATGCAATGTGAGAATCTTTTTTTTTTTTTTTTGGATCTTGATTAGAACAAACCAATTGCAAAAAGCCACTTGGGAGATAGACATTTGAACACAGCTTTGACACATTTGGCAGGGGAATCTGAGATTTGTGAACACCTGGTGAATCAAGTACTCATGTACCAAGGTCCAATAACTCATAGTGCTGGATAAATAAAGACAAATTCTTTTTATCTGTCCTCTTTTCCTTGGATCTAGCAGTCCATTTTGTTATGAAGCCTTTCTTTCTTAGTTTTTGATCTTCATAGTTGCCATGATATGCCTTTGATTCCTCCCTGGGTTGAACAGATTTGGGCCTTTTTATGTTTCAGCCACACGTTTACTGACAGTCTCCTGTAACTCTTGTGACTTCTCCACAAGTCTAAGTTCATTCATTATAGATGATAATTACAGTGTTATTCCAAGATGGTAATTTTATTTCCTGGGTTTGAGAACTATTTCCCCTCATGCACTGATATTAGCACTTGTCTTTTAGAGCAAGTTGATTAAAAAAAATCACTTTGATGAAGACCTTTAGAAGCTGATAAAAGTCAGTTTCCCATCTCTTGTCAGTCCAAGGATTCCTCTCATGGAATCAATGTGGGTGGCTGTTCACTCCTAGATGGAAGTGAAAGCATGTGCCATGGGGTTCTCTGTGTTACAAGGATGGGGGATGACCCTTTGATGTACTCAGAAGGGGACGGATAACGTGCTTCAGCAAGCAGAGGACCACAAAGAGAGGAAAGCACATGGGTGCGTGTGTGTGTGCAATTATGGATGCACCTGCTGTAGACCCTTCAGATAAAGTCCCCAAGGAATCAGGTACACTGTGTTTTCTGGATAATTGTAATTTTAAACTTCTCAGAAGCTAACATTTTTCTAATAAGAACCACTCTACCAAATCCCTCTCCAAACAGGAAACTGATAAAATCCCCTTGATGAAACATGTAATCATACATTAATGAGTCCTCCATTTAGGTGAATTGAATTAGGTTGTAAGCAACAGTCTGAAAAAAAGGGAAAAAGAGAAAAAGAAAAGCATGCCAAGCAAGATACACATTTCCTGAAATGAGCATGTCAAAGAATCCCTTTGAATTGACAGAGCAATGTGTTATTACACCTACGTATACTGCTACAGTCTCTGACATCTTATTGAAGAAAAATGTGCATGTTTCCTCTGAGCCAATTAGGGATTTGTTGATGCATGGGAAGCACTGCAGTTTGTTTTTTTACTGTGTCCCTATTCAGCTACAGTGATCATTCAGCCAGCTAATTTGCTTTCTGCCTTTTATTCTATCCAACAAAATGTACTGAGGACCTGTCACTAGCACTTTGTCAGCACTGTAGGGACATATAAATTATCACACTATAAAATAAGGTCATAAAAGGCCACATCTCATCACCTTATAACTTTAGCACTTTGGACAATGTCTGACACAGAGGAGAAGCTCAGGGATGATTTGTTAAAAGGAACTGAGGTAGGGCACCCAAGTTCATGATTTGTTAGAAGGAACTGAGGTAGGGCACCCAAGTTCATCACCTTTGTAACCTTGTATAGGGGGCAAGAGGTACATGAATGCTTATAACTCTACATATAGGATGTACTAAGAACTTCAAGCAAGGTAAAATAAAAGGAGCCATAGACAGAGATGGAAGGAGAAATTCTGACCCCATGGGATCTCAAGCAGGAGGTAAAATCTCAAGAACAGAGTATGAAGGACATTTAGGCAGAAAAAACATTATTAACAATGGCATCGTGGCTGGTGGGAAGGAGGAGGATGGTTTGCTCCAGTTCAGTTGGAATGTGGGGCACAGGGAGAGCGGGAGAGGGCAGGAGGGAGGCCGGGACTTAGCCTGGCGTGGAACTGCAGTGGGACCATCACCGAGTGGGAGCGGGAGTTGGGGCTGAACAACAGGTAGAGTGCAGGGGGCTGAGGATAGGGCTGGGCCATCAGCGACAGGG